TCTATCTATCTATCTATCTATCTATCTATCTATCTATCTATCTATCTATCTATCTATCTATCTATCTAGTGATTTCCCACTAAAATAGAATGCTCAAGGCAGATTCTAAACCTTTCAAAAGAATAAAAACAAATAAAACCACATTTAGCTAAAAAATTAATATAATCACATAAATCTGCTCCACTCTACAACTATCAGAATCAAGAAAAAATTATTGAAAAATATTAAAACCAACAGTTAAAACAATACTGCAGGGCCAGCCAAACATAATATGCCAGTCTGAAAAGGAAAGAATGTGGAGGAACCGAAGGACACTCATGCTTTTCCCATTCCCATGCTTGCCCCAATGGATCTATTCTAAGCATTACTGCGCTTTTCTGTCATGCTCAGTAATGCTTAGAATAGACCCATTGAAATCAGTAGGTCTTGAGTTCGTTCTGGATAATTTTTCTCCACTGAATCAAACTACTGTAAGTATGTGGAAGTCTGGATCCAACAGAAGAGTGTGTGTATCATAAAATATAGTGTGTATATTGATGAAACAAACTCAATGCAGAATACATTAAGACTTTAGGGCTGAATAATACTCAGAGCTGGATGTTACAGTACAATTCTCTGAATGTTAGCATTACCCATAAATGTGTTGCTGTTGCTGTTTCAATTTATAAACTGCCCCATCGTGCTAAAGTACTCTTTAGGTGGTTTGTAACATAATTATGCAAGCAACACTTTGCCCCCCAACAAGCTGGGTACGCATTTTGCAAGACCTTGGAAGAAGGGAAGGCTGCATCAACCTTGAGCTAGCAACTTGAGCCCATTGGGGTTGTGACCAAAGGCTTTGACTGCATTAGTGTAGTTTAGCCACTGTGCCACAGGGCCCTTTTTCACAATTATAACCATATATCACATTGAAAACAAAAAGGTTAAATTACTTAAAGCCAATCCATGTCAAGGTTGCTTAATAGGGGCTACTTTATTCTAGATCTGCTCTCCATGTGGCAGATCAACGAATGCATCATGGTTTACTTGTGAGTTAACATTCTTGCAATTGTGCTTTTGATTCTTCCATTACAAAGTTACAGCCCTTATTTCTCAGCCTTCTCAATGAAATTTCTGGTCTCAGCTCTGCTGATTTGTCATGTGGACTAGTTGAATCTCTTCTTACCTTGATTCTTTCATCTGTAGCCAACATTTTTCTACCTCTTGGCCATAACCAGGATCGCTGACTATGTACCAGGTAAATAGATGGTTGTTGCGGAAATGCAAATAGATTGATTCAGAAACTGGTTTGTTTTTTTGATTCTTCATATGGAGTTCTACTAACAGGAAGTGACTTTTGTCTACGCTCTAGGACTGTAATGAAAACTATTTTTAGTATATGTAGGTTGAAAACCAATAGGAAATAGCAACTAGAAACGGCCTGCTTATTCAGTGGTGATTTGGTGAGTCAACACCTATGTCAGTTCCATTTACTCAATGGGTCTGCTATAGCTGTGATTTACTACTGGATTTCAGCCACAGTCAGTGCAAAAACCTTAGTCTTTATTCAAACTTTTATACACACACTAGAATTTATAGATATTTCAGCTGTCTCATTTTCACCCCTTTCAATTCTTTTTCCACAACAGTCACTTTGTGATCTGTAACAGAGTATCCTGGGAACCTGAAGTGTTCTAAAACTGGCTTTTTTCTACCCACTGCTATCTTTAACATTAGTTTTGTGGCCCTTTCTTCTCTTATGTAGGAATTGTTCCAGCTGCCCTTGGTAGAACGCACTGGCAAAGGATGGCACATATCAACTTGGATTTCTCAGTATACCCATATGAAAGGAAATGGATTACACCCGTCGTTTCTCTCTGCACCCCCATCTCCCACCTTGTATTTTCTAACAAAAGAGCAAATCGCCTCCAACTCTTAGTTCAACGGAATTCATGATCACCCTTTGCTAAATAAACGATTCATATTTTGCAAAGTCTCCAATGAAACAGTGTCTAGATAGGTAGAAAGGAAGAGATTGGTTTGTTATCTTCCTCAATTTATTTTATTTCCACTGCATAAATTTCAGCTTACTATGAAAAAGAGACTAAAAGGCCTCTTTTAGAGCCTTAAAAAAATCTAATAAGATATTCCCAGCAGTAAACTACCTTGTTCCCCCCCCCCATTTCAGCCATGTTGTGCCCCCACCATGCCTCCCTGTGCTCTCTTTCCCCCACCTCCCCTTTCTTAAGAAGACTTTCCCAGGTCTTCTCCCCCTCCTTTTTTTTTTTTGGCTGCGGTTGAACAGTGTTGGCTTCTAGCCATGTTGCAACAAAGACTTGGCATTCCAGCTGTCTGCTTCTAATCTCCAGTGTCAGCTCTTGTTAATGTTTCAGCGTGAAATCAGAGGGGGCAGAGCTGCATGGAATATATATATATATATATTTTAAAAACCACACCATGATCAGAATTCCAGTGAAACGCTGGTCGTTCTGTGGGTGTGGGGCGAGGAGCCCTCCCCTTCCAATCAAATCTACCATCTTGAATGAAGCCAAAAAAAAAATTCCAGGTTTCCGAACAGCAAAGGGAGAAAAGATTGCTGCCACCAAAGGCCCATCGGAAGTGCAGCAGTGTGCACCCATGGACAAAATTAGCATTTCATTTTTCAATTGAAGATCCAAGTTGATTTCTTGGCCGTACGTGGCATTCATGACAATGGGGTGTTCCTCAACCTGTTTGAGGCTCCTAATTTTTTTTTTTTTTACTGAAATGACATATTTCCTGGAGCATAAGGAACATCTGCCGCTACATTTTAACTTTGTAAAGAGAACACCCACCCTCCTCAATATGTTATACATTGTCAAAATTGCTTGCGCGCAATCCTCGCTCTTGTTTTCTCTCCCAGGCCCACCCATCGGACCTGTCCCGACCTTGGACGCTCTCCCATTAGTGGATTGGGCCCTCCTTGCCGCCACCCCCGCAGTCCCAGGAAGGCTCAAGTTCAGTGGCTATAGGAATCCAACCCTCTGCCCTATCAGACTGGGAGGGATTTTTTCACTTTGTACAACAGAAAGTGTAAGGGGAATTAGGGTTGGCCAAGTACCCTGCTCTTTCCCCCTAGTGGAGGAGGAGGAGGAGGAAGAGGAGGAGCTTCTCCCTAGTGGAGGAGGAGGAAGAGGAGGAGGAAATCAGGGCTGCTTCCCCACTCTTGGACAGAGATAGGGAGAAAGAGGAGAAGATATTGATGAATGGCACTAGGGGAGCAGATAATGGTGGCCCATGGCATGCACACCCCTGGAGAAGGTTGCATACCACCAATTAACCTTGCTGGAGCCAGCTGTCCTTTCAAATGCCGGTCTCATAGAGTCCTTGCAGCCAAGGCATTATGGGATTCTTCTTCTGCAGGCCACCCCTTCCATTGCAGATTTAAAAAATATAGGGGGCAGCACTTTGCTTCCTTCCTTAAGTAGCAGGAGAGTTCAGGATACCTTTCTCTACCTGATATTCAAACAACGGAATGCAAGTCTAGGCATTCTTTCCAGAGAGTGAGCCCTGATGAGCGCAGTGGGGCTTACTTTTGAGTAAGCATGTACGGAAAGGTGCCACCCTTTTTGTGCATGCTTCTTCCACACGTTTCTCTGGATGTCGGGGTTTGCTCTGGATCCTACAGCTGGAAAGTACAGTTCCTTCAACCAGGATGTTGAGAACATTGCTTTTAGGGACTAAATGTTCCAGAATCCCCCTGTCCTTAGCCAGTAGCTACACAGGTTGGGGGATTGTTGGCATTGTAGTCCAAAATGTAACCTTCCAGAGTTCTGGTATGAATGACATAGTACAAGAAGAGGAGGGCAGGTCACCTCTTTTCAGGATAACAGGGATGGTAGGAAAATGTCCCCGACTGAATAAGTGGCACGCAAAGCCCCTCATGTTGTCTTGAATGTATGAAGCCAACACCAAGTTGGGATTTACATCCTAGGTGGAGCCGCTTCACTTTGGTGGTCAGCACAGTCCAAAATGTTTGTGCGTATTCCGTTGCACCAAAACTTTGGTGTGGATTAAATAGGAAACTGTTTTCCCCATCAAATGGGAAAAGATTCAGATGATATGAGGTCTAGTAGTTGTAGGCCTTCTTTGAAAATGAGCTGCAAGAGGAAAGGTGCCAAAGAACACAATGGAGAAAACAGTAGTTTCGGGTTGGCTCTGAATTGTGTCTAAACAAGCTCCAGGTTGAGCCAATGGTATCACTGCAGCATGTCCGGCATTTCCTGCTGCTTGGAACCTTCCTACAAAATTCACACCACAAATCCTGCTCCTGGCGCTTACCCTAAACTCTCTGACCCTTATAAAACCCTACCCACCCGAGCGACTAAGGGATGGCGCTCCTGCCAGCTGTGGATTGTCTTTGCCTCCGACTTGACAGAAGACCAAGCTTGGCGGAAACCCAGTGATATCCTTCAGGCTTCTCAAATCCCTGATCTGTTCCCCACCTGCTCTGGGCCTGCTACTGCTGCAGGGGGGGGGGGGTGTCACAGACTCAGTTTCCCAGGCTTCGCAACAGGGCCATGGGGGGGGGAGAGGAGAGAGCACATGGGTATCCCTGCCCCAGCCTTTGCCATATGACTAGGATTTGCATGAGCACAGTTTAATGCTGCCAAATACAGTGATGCCTCGCTTACCGATTGCCTCGCTTAACCAGGAAATCGCAGTACGATGTTTTAAATGGGGTTTTTCATTTAATGATGATTGGTTCCCTGCTTCGGGAACCGATTTTCACTTTACGACGATCAACAAACAGCTGATTGTCGTAAGGGACACTGTGTGGGACACTACAAACAAGGGTGTGGTGGGTACTGCCCTCTGTGTTGTTACATTAGGATTTCAACCCACCATCCATAAAGAGATCATTGGCATCATCCCATCCAATAAGGTCACATAGATCATTGCAACTGCTACTTCTGTGTATTGGAGTTTTGCACATCAGCCAGTTCCATAGGGAAGGAAACAGCCTAGAACCTAAGAATGATGGGAAATCATCCTCCACTACATTGAAGGCAATTGACTAGGTAAGAGGCACAGAGCATGATCTCCTTCAACACTTTTGTTTGCCCCCCAGCATCTGCTACTGCCTGAGGAAACAACTCTTGCTCTGCCTAATGGGAGGGCCAGTTCTGCATTTAATCCTTCGCCAAAGTCTAGAGAAGACTGCCATAGGAACACGTCCAGAAAGTGCTAACTTGTTGTACTTCTTTGTAGCTTTTAAAGCAGAACTTTAGGAGCCAATTTTTGCTGAAAAGCAGGATATAAAACAAACAAATGCCTCAGTATGACCCTTGAAATGCAGGATAACGGAACAAGGACCAAGCACTGCTTTTTAAGCTGTGGCTAGTGAAGGGGCTACTTAAAGAGTTCCGCCGAAATGTGATGGCTCATCCCTGACTTTATTTGACCTCTAAAGCTTCAGGTAAAGTTTCCTCTTAACATCCGTTCATTTGCCTTCCCTCGGAATAACTTCCATGAAGAAAACAAGGAAGCAAACCAGAGAGCCAGTGGCTTAGTCACTTTCTCCTGGTTTGTCGTAGAAGGTGGGTGATGAAGGTCCATCATGTTAGATCTCCAGCAGGCAGGAAGAACCAACCCACCTCTGATCTTCTCCTCACAGGAGAACACAGATGCTTCAGAAGTAAACTGACATGCCAGGAACTTTGAAGTCCTCCAAAGTGATCCTACACACATGGGCACATATTCCCCCCCCCGCGGTCCCTATGAATGAGGTCCATAAATAACAGCTGATTATTGTGGGGTCAGGCTAGAACCTCAGACACCTTCAACCGCAAGATCCTTTTAGCATCCTGATCTCTAAGAACAGACTTAAATGTGAGGTGAAAGGACATGGCATACCTCTCTCCTCAGAGAAAACTTCATTTGGGAAAAGTCACATATGAATGCCTGAGTATTAAATCCATGCATGTGGAAAGTCAGTGTGTCAAGCTGTGATGAACTCCATCTCTCTGACATACTTGATGTCCGGGTTACGGGGAGGTGTGGGTTTCCCCCAGCCACCCACTTTCATATGCAGAATTCCCCCATCTGTAGTCTGAAGTGGTACAGTCTGAAAATCCTGTAGAATTTAGGTTTAAATAGGCCTTCCTTTTTTTTCTTTCAAAGGTAGGATGTAAGCCAAAGCCCACCCTATAGTTGCGGCTTTGTGGCTTGACACGCAGCCTGGGAAAAGCCTTCACCAATTTGACATTTTTCCAAACGACAATATGCGAACACCCAGCGCCACCACTTGCCTACCAAGTGGAGGTAATATACATTTCCAATTAGCCGTACACATTCTAGACATGTTCTCTTTTACCGCCTAACTATCTTTGTTTGGCTAAAAAGCGAGTCTGTTGTTAATGAAACCCTGCCATTTGGGCTAATCCCGGACACAATGCCCCTTTTCTCTCCCAGGCTATCCCTGACATAACGACTACAGTTTTGCAAAACTCACCACCCCACCGTAAGATCACTTCTCATTGGCTCTTCATGACGTACCCAATGGAGGACTGTCATGGTCAAAGGGAGCCCTTCATCTCCGGAGCAACGCATCCAATGATGTCTTGCAGGGCTGTTGTACGAGTCTTTCTCACCATCGCCTTTGGTGGCTAAGGCTTATAGTGTTTTGCGTACAGTTTTCAAAGAAATAGTTTTAAAACTATATCAGTTGCTTTGTATTGTCCAAACTGATTCCAATTGTTTTAGATTTCCATTTGTTCTGGTTTGTCCTAGGTCTTATGATATAACTGCGGTATAACTGTTGCTGCAGCAGCACCTATGAAACAGATGTCATTTCTTCAAATGCCACCTGTGTCTGTTATTCTGCACACAAAGAGAAGGTGTGTGGCAGCCCTCCTGTCCATCTTCTGCTCCATCACCCTGCTATGTTTCTGCAGGAGGACAAATCTGAAGCCGAG